ATTCTCATCAAATGGCTGCTGCAAACAAAGGATGTCAATTCCTTCAGATTAGGTGGGAGACTCACCCAGTCTTGCATCTTTTTCCACTGGGAAAGAAAAGCATAAGGAATCCATGATCAGAGGGAAAAATGATCATCCCATGTCTGGACCCTAAATTCTTTGGGTTTGGGGATGGAGACTCACCGATCTCTGCAGGTTGTTCCTCTGTAAAGAAAAAAAGAGAAAAGTAATGCATGTTCATAGGGGCAGCTTCTTATCCCATGGCTACTCCTCTGGGAAGACACCAAATGCTTTCTCTTTGGGGAAGGAGACTTACCCAGCTTTGCATCTCTGTTCACTGGAAAAGGAAAACAGAAGCATGAGTGATCAGAGGTTACAGCTTTTCATCTCAGGGCTGATCCCATTTGAAGACCACAAAGGGTTTAAAGTGGGAAATGACCAACTTCCACCCAGACTAGGAGGGACCAGTCTAACAGGGAGCAAGACCCAGCTTTGAGCAAGGCTTTTGCACGTGGAGCAGTAAGGACAGACACTTGTGCAGCTCTCTGCACCGTGCCACCAAAAGACAAAGGGAAGTGATTGCACATGGGTGGAGGACGTCCCTGTCCCAGAAGCATCAGTACAGAGCGGGGCAGCCCCGCAGCTTGCTCCCCATCCCCACCTTGATCCCCGTTCCTTTCAGCCATCCCGGCCGTGCCCCATGCCCAGGGCAGCCCCAGCCCCAGCACTCCTCACTCCCACCCCAGGCTCCAGCTGCTCCTCCAGCACCCCGTGAGCCACCAGCACACAAGCCCCCAGAGCCCACCCAGACCAGGCCCAGACCCTCCCGCAGGGACACCACTTCCCCAGGGGCTGGGGGCAGGGACTGCAAGGACTCACCCAGCTCTCGCCTCTGTGCCGCTGAAAAGCAAAGGCGGAGGAAGAGGTGGTGAGCAGAGCAGCTTGGTTGCTGGGTGGGAACATGTGCAGGGGGCTGCGCCTTGCCACCAGCCCCACGCTGCAGCCATGCTCCCTGGCCTCCCACCCAAGATGATCCTAAGGCCTTTGGCATCCCCAGGAGAACATTCCCTTCCTCCTCCTGCGCACCACCCTGGGCCAGGGCTCAGCCCGGCTCCACACCCACACGGGTCCCTGCAGAACACCTCCCTCTGCTCCATCCCTGCGCTGCCAGCTTACCTTGCTTTCGGAAGAGATAAACACCGAGGCCAATGGACACAGCCAAAAGCACGAGGACCAGAGCCAGAGCCACTATCCAGGGCTGGGCGTTGTGGAAGAAGGGAGCTGAGAAAAGGCACCAGGAAAAGGGCTGTATTTTCATGCCCGCAGGTGGAAGAGCAAGATCCAGACTTCTCCTGGGGTCAGGACAAGTGCAGGGGCCAGGAACACCTCACCCTGGCTGTGCCATTTGTTACCTGCAATGTGCAGGGAAAATTTCCTCTCCTGCTGGAGTGGTTGTTCCTGACCACGCAGGACAAGGGCCCCTCCACGCTCCCGGTCACGATGACGGCGCCTTCGATTTCAAAGAGCCCCTCCTGGTCCTGGGAATGTGTCTGGGAGACCGAGGGCAGGTGCTGCCCGCGAGCATCCCTCCACAGCAGCTGCGGCAGCGGGTACCAGCCGGCCGATCCACACAGCACCCGGACGCCTCCGGCCTCGTAGCCCCCCAGGGAGAGGTGGGGGTCAGTGCCTGTGGCTGGGGGAAGAGCGGTGTGGCTGGTGCTTGACTTGGGGAGGGATTGAGTTCCAAGGCAAAGACCCCGTCTGCTCCCAAGACAGACACAGCTTAGCACAGCCACAGCACCAGCGGCTCTGTTCCAGGTGCTCCGTGCACCCACCCTCACCCCAATCCAACCTGGCTGGCACTAAAAACAGAAAGAAGGGCTGCACAATGTCAGTGACCCCATATTGTCCATAAAACCCAGGTGCAGAGATCCAGCACCTCCAGGCAGCATCTCTGCCACCATGCCATGCTCGTTCAAGAAGCCCCAATACTTCTGACAAATTCTCAGGTCTCCCCCAGCACAGAAAGCAAAAGTAAAGCAGACGTCTGCCTGTTCAGAGGACTCTGCAATTCTCCCTGTGTGCTGTTTGGTCCCATTGCTGACACAGCTGAAGGTGCTGCTCAGCAGCCTGTGCCCAGTGCCCTCACAATATTATGATTTCTTTCTTCAAAGATAATCAGTGAAAACTGAGAAAAATCTCCAGGGAGCTCTCTCCCCAAACATTACCTCCACATCCATGGGCATGCCTCATGCTGTGAAACAGCTGAAACATTCAAAGGGCACGTAAACTCTGCCCAGGAACCATCACCCCAGCCACTAACCTGACACCTCCAGCTCCACAATGGCTTCATCATAAGCATGAGCATCTCTCACAGTGCAGGTGTACTGGCCATCATCAGAGGGTCTCAGCCCCGTGATTCGCAAGTCCAGGCTTCCAGCAGAGAGACCATCTCTGAGCAACTCTGTCCTCCCGGCATATGTCCCCATCTGTTCCCCGTATAGGTCCTCTCCATTGCGGTAGTGGTGCACTGTCTCAGAGATATTGTCCCGGATCCACCTGACCTCCAAGGTGCGAGCATTGCGTTGAGGGGACAAGTGGCAGGGCAGCACGACATCCTGCCCCACGGTGGCAGTGACAGAGTGGCCTGGTCCCACCACTCTGAGCTGGGCTGGTGTGAGAAACAATGTTGTGTTTTTGCAGCAGAGAATTATTTTTCTGTATTCCAAGGTAATTGTGTAATCATAATAAGGAGAAATGCTAAGTAGATAAGTGGACTGTAGAAGGCCTCACTGTTCCAAAATAAGGTAGAAGCTTGAGAAAAGCAGGATGAGCAGTGTGAGAACAGGAAACCAAAGATCACAAGTTCTCAAAACATAAGACAGGAGAAATTAAAGGGTTAAAAAAAAAATCTACATATACAGTATAGAGAAGCGTTGAGTAGCTTGTGAAACTGTGGTACTCAGCCAATGAGGAAAAAGGGGAGGTGATCAGGTGTCAGGTAATAGGGAATAAAAGGTTAGGATTTTGCTCTCCTGATTGACAGGATGCCTGCCATTGCAATCACAAATAAAATAGCTTCAGAGAAGATTCTGTCTGAAGAAAATTATTTGAGATGTTTCTCACACTGGGCAATGGAGAAGGGCACAGAGAGGAGGTAAGATTTTGCCATTGTAAATTTAGGGGCAGTGAGTGACAAAGGGCGTGAGTTGGTGCGTGAGTTGGTGCGTGCTGTGTCCCCTGGGTGCCATGGGAAACCACCGAGGAAACAGGAGAGGGAGAGGGAGAACATGCAGGAGAAGGAGGTGTGCTGGGAGTGGGAGCCCTCTCTGCAGAATTCGGGTGGGTGAAGGAGACACAGAAAGGGCAGGCAAGGCAGCAGCCATATTGCGTGAAATAACAAAAGTGAAAGTGAAACCCAGCGCGGGCAAGCTGTGGGCTTGGGTCCCCCCTTTCCCACAGCCGCTCCCCTGCCCCACAGCAGCAAGTCTCTCAGCCAAAGGGGGAGAGCCCCCAGCATCCCTGCAGGATCCTACCTGAGCCCAGCTGGAGGAGGAGCAGAGTGATGAGGGAAGTCAGAAGTCTCCTGGCATGCCTGGTGAGACTGGGGCAGCCACAGCCCCAGGGGAGCCTTATCGGAGAGAGAGGTCCCCCAGGGGGCAGATGGCCCCCCCAGGTGTTCTTCTCCAAGGGAACCCCAACAAAAGAGCGAGGTCCCTCACAGCACCCAGCCATGCTGCAGGAAACACAGGGCTACGCCCAACTTCCCAAGCCTTTTCCTACATCCTGGCTGCAATAATCGTCTAGGAGGAGCTCTGGCCCTGGAGCAGTGGGGACAAGTGTCTGGGGAGTTCTGCATGCCTGCCACTGAGATGCGGAAGATGCTAAAAGTGATCTGAATTAATATTTAGCTACATATATGGTAAAATATCCTGATTATTGGGGATGCAGATGAGAACCTTACGAGAAGCAGATGTAAAAAGTAAGATATCGCTCAAAGCCAAGGGATGAGGGAAGGACAAAAAGTCGTTAGGGAAGGACAAAAAACTTGTTGGCAGGAAGCAAGGCAAAGTTAAGCAAAAACCTCCTCAGTACTGTCCAAGAGAAGGTCAAAGTCCAGAAAGGTAAAAAGTTTGACCTCCTCTTCCTCTTTGCCTTCATCCTGAAAGACCCCTGCCCACGACCACCAGGCTACATTGCACAGACGCAACCTGGAGGAGCTAAGGGAGGGGTGTATGGAAATGAGTATTTGGAAGAGGTCCGCCTTTTCAGAGATGTTGTGTTTTAACCGGGCTGGCAGCTAAACACCACACAGCTGTTCCCTCACTCTCCACCTTCCTTCTCTGGGATCACGGAGAGAACCATGAAGTGAAGCCTGTGGATTGAGATAAAGGCAGTTTATTAAGACAGGAAAATAATAATAACAACAACAAGAATAATAATAGTACTACTACTAACAGTGTGTATGAAACAAATGATGCACAATGTTCACCACCCACTGACCAATGTCCAGCCTAACCCTGAGCAGTCTGCTCCCCCCCCAGCCCCTGCTAGCCACCCCTATATATTGTTTAGCATGACGTCAGATGGTATGGAATACCCCTTTGGCCAGCTGGGGTCAGCCGTCCTGGGTCTGTCCCCTCCCAGCTCCTGCTGCATCCCTAGCCTGCTCTCTGGCAGGACAGAATGAGAAGCTGAAACATCCTTGGCTTGGTGTAAGCACTGCTCTGCAACAATTAAAACATCAGCATGTTATCAGCACTCTTCTCATCCTAATGCAAATCATAGCACACTACTAGCTACTAGGAGGAAAATTAACTCTATCCTAACTGAAACCAGGACAGGGGAAAATAATGAATATGTATTAGAGCTCATGTATTATGTAACAGCACATGTTCTGAGCGAAGCTATTCCCAATGCACCCGGTGCACTAGGATGAAGGTGGATGAGGTTTGTGGTTGTGAATCTCCACTGAAATGCAAGACAATGGAATTTTGGGAGATGGGATTGTTCTGGGGGAGAGGAGCATGGTGTTTGGGGATGGTGGGATCTTGGTGGGATCTCAGTGGGATAAAGTGTGAAGGCTTTTTGGGATGGTGAGACTGGACGTGGATGGAGATGGATGGTGGAGTTTGAAGACGGCTCAGCTTGGCTCATGAATTGAGAACCAGATGGAGGAGAGCATCCGCTTCTCCTCATTGTGTAGCTGGGTTCAGAGATTCTTCTTAGCTTCCTACCTTCATATATTGAAACCTTGAAAGAGTCCAAAGGAGTCCTGCAGCCATGGAGGCTGAGATTCGGTCTTGGATCACCCACTTCTATCGGATGCAGTGTATTCCAAACACATGTTTCTTCCCCAGCTTCCGCACCATGTATGCTCTTTATTTTAATACTGTGATATTTAGAATACACCCCAATGAATTGGGGTCACTCGAGAGTGACTGCCTTTTCCATGCTTGCTTTAAAACGAGGTGCAATAAAATGGAACTGATTTTCTGGGAGTGCAGATTTGTTATTAATTGCCAACAGTTGAGGGAAGCTGGGGTGGCCCTATGTGGTGGTTTTACTGTGCTAGGCAGCTGAACACCACAACCACTCTCTCAAGCTCCCTCCTTAGATGAGGTGGGGAAGAAATAAAGGAAAGAACATCTCACAGGTTGAGATAAGGATAATTTAATTAAAGGGAAAAAATAATTATTAAGGAAAGATTATTTTTAGTTAAACAATTTAACTAAAGGGAAAAAAAGTGAAAGGGAAATAGGGAGGAGGAAAGGGAAAAGACAACAAAACAAAACAAAACAAGTAAAGGCTATGTGGAAGTGCAGAGGAAAGAAATTACTCTCTACTTCCCACCAATGAGCAATGCTTGACCACGTCCTTGAAGCAGGACCTCAATGCACGTAGCCAGTGTTCAGGAGGACAGATGTTTTCACAACTAGAGCCCACCCCTCCCCTCTTCTTCCTTTTTCCACCTTTTATTGCTGAGTGTGACATCATTACATAGAATCATAGAATCATAGAATATCCCGAGTTGGAAGGGACCCATAAGGATCATTGTCTGACTCCTGGCACCGCACAGTTCTGCCCAAAAGTCTAGACCATATGACTAAGTGCACAGTCCAATCGCTTTTTAAATTCAGGCTTGGTGCAGTGACTATGTCCCTGGGGAGCCTGTTCCAGTGTGCAACCACCCTCTCGGTGAAGAACCTCTTCGTGATGTCCAGCCTAAATTCCTCTTGCCTCAGCTTAACACCATTCCTGTGGGTCCTATCATTGGTGTTTACAGAGAATAGGTCACCTTCCTCTCCAGTCCCCCTCGCGAGGAAGTTGTAGACCAAGATGATGTTCCCCCTCAGCCTCCTCTTCTCCATGCTGAACAGGCCCAGTGCCCTCAGCTGCTCCTCTAACCTCTTCCCCTCTAGGCCCTTCACCATCTTCATCACCCTCCTTTGGACTCTCTCCAACAGTATAATGTCCTTCTTGTGCTGTGGTGCCCAGAACTGCACACAGTATTCGAGGTGAGGCTGCACAGCACAGAGTAGAGCAGGACAATCACTTCCCTTGACTAGCGATGCCGTGCTCGATTCACCCCAGGATACAGTTGGCCCTCCTGGCTGCTAGGGCACACTGCTGGCTCATGTTCAGCTTGCTGTCAACCACAACCCCCAGATCCCTCTCTGTAGGATTGCTATCGAGAGTCTCATCGTCCAGTCTATACGTATAGCCAGGGTTGCCCCATCCCAGGTGCAGGACCCGGCAATTGCCTTTGTTAAATTTCATGTGGTTGGTGATTGTCCAGCTCTCCAATCTGTCCAGATCTCTCTGCAAGGCCTTTCCACGCTCATCCGAGTCAACAACTCCAAGTTTGGTGTTGTCAGCAAATTTGCTCAAACACCTTCCAGTCCTACAGCCAAATAATTTATAAAGACATTGAAGAGGACTGTCCCTAAAATGGAGCCTTGAGGGACCCCACTAGTGACCATCCGCTAGCCTGATGTGGCCCCATTAACCATAACCCTTTGAGCTCTGCCCGTCAACCAATGGCTCACCCATTGTATGATGTTTTTGTTCAGTTGTATGCTGCACATTTTGTCCAGTAGGATCCTATGGGAAACTGTGTCAAAAGCCTTGCTGAAGTCCAAAAAGATAACATCAGCTGGTTTCCCTTGGTCAACTAGATGGGTGATCTTGTCATAAAAGGAAATCAAATTTGTTAGGCAGCACCTACCCCTCATGAACCAATGTTGGCTGGGACCAATGACTGTATTGTCCTCCAGGTGCACCTCAATAACTTCAAGAATCATCTTCTCCATAATTTTACCAGGCACTGACATGAGACTGACAGGCCTGTAATTGCTAGGGTCTTCTTTCTTACCCTTCTTGAAAACTGGGACAACATTTGCCAGCTTCCAGTCTACTGGGACCTCTCCAGATTCCCAAGATCATTGAATAATTATTGAGAGGTCCCGCGATGACATCAGCCGGCTCTTTAAGCACCCTGGGATGGATCCCATCTGGACCCATGGACTTGTATGGATCCAGGTGGAGCAGCAAATCCCGCATACGTTCAGGGTCAGTTGGAAGTTTGTTATTCCCACCATCATGGTCCTACAGCTCAGGGCACCAAGAGTCCTGAAGCTCATCATCAGCATTGAAGACAGAGGTGAAGAAGGCATTAAATGTCTCTGCTCTACCTGTGTCATTGTCTGTGAGGAGACCTTCCCCATCACGTAGCAGACCTGTGTTTTCTTTGGTTCTCCTTTTTCTGTTTTCATATCTAAAAAAAACCTTTTTTATTGTCTCTCACAGACATGGCCAGCTTCAACTCTAGTTGGGCTTTGGCCCCACGAATTTTCTGCCTACAAATACGAACAGCATCCCTGTATTGCTTCCTCATCTCCTGACCCTCCTTCCAGCAGCCATACACTTTCTTTTTCCGTCTAAGCTCCGGTAGAAGATCCCAGGTCAGCCAGGCCAGCCTTCTGCCCCGCCTGCCTGACTTCTGATATTTTGAAATCGCCTGATCTTGTGCTTTTAGGAGGCAGTGTTTAAAGATTGACCAGCACTGACGGAGGCCAATGCCTTCAAAAGCAGCTTCCCAGGGGACCTTGCTGACAAGTTCCCTGAGCAGCCTGAAGTCTGCTTTCCCTATATTCAGGGATGAAGTTTTGGTGGCAGTTTTCCTTCTGTCACCAAAAATTCTAAACTCAACCACTTCATGGTCACTATGACCGAGACGGCCACCAATTGCCACGTCTCCCACAAGACCCTCTTTTTTTTCCAGCAACAGATCTAGGAGGGCACCTTTCCTAGTTGGCTCCCTTAGCACCTGCACCAAGAAGTTATCATCTAGGTGCTCTATGAACCTCCTGGACTTGCTGGTGTCAGCTGTGTGGTGATCCCAGTTGACATCTGGCGAGTTGAAATCTCCCATAAGAACAAAGGGAGTTGACCTCAAGGCATCTCTTAGTCCTACAAAGAATAATTCATCGGTGTTGTCGTCCTGGCCAGGTGGTCTTTAATAGACTCCCACTATGACATCCCCTTTATTTGTTCATCCCTTAATCCTTACCCAGAGGCTCTCAACTTTGCCATCCCCAACTTGAAGTTCCACACAGTCCAGCCCATGCTTCACATACATTGCCACCCGACCGAAGGACCTCTCTGGCACACAGTCCCTCTGATTCCAGTGCACTATCCCTTAGCTCATCACTGGCATGCCTGGTTTTATACGTCTTCCCCCTTCAACTCTAGTTGTAGGGGGAAGGGGACGAATACTATATGGTATGGAATATCCCTTTGGTTGGTTTAGGTCAGCATGCTCTGGTGATGTTTCTTTTCTCACTTTTTTACCCACCCCCTAGGAGGGTTAGAGAGAGTCCCGATGCTGTGCCAGCACTGCTCAGCAGTAGACACAACACTGGTGTGATACCACTGCTGTTCTAGCTCCAAGTGCAGAACACAGCACTGTATGGGTTGCTGAAGGGAAAGTTAAAATTCCAGCCAGACCCTGTACACACCGTGGCTCCTTCATGCCCATCTCATGAAGAATATGGGTTCTGGAAAGTGAAACGCAATTACAGAGGTTGGGTACTGGGTTACGGAAGTGACTTGCAAGGACCTGAAGACAGCTTAAAGGCTGAGGCTGCCTCTGTTTGGAGAACTTCCAAGAGCTCGTGATGTCCCTTGTGCGCACAGCAAGGGAACCAGGATACTGGGGGCAGCTGGAGCTTAGGTTCCTCCTGGCTCTGACTCCCAGGACCAACATCAAGAAGACAGTCTGCTGCAGGATGCATTTGCAGGCAGCAAAACCTCAGGACACAAAGCACCCAGGAAATGCCACTGCCAGACTCCATCTTCCTGTACAAAACTTTATTTGACACAGTCCTGCTGCTGCTGGGCCTTGGAT